AGCACACCATTGGTGCTTCCTCCCAGGGCCATAGTCATGACCAGGGCATTCTCGAAAGACCGCTTGGTCAACAAGTCCCGAGGACGGATGTCCTTTTCCATGCAAACCTTGATGGCTTCGGCTGCCTTGACACACTCACGCATCTTGGTCGGGGAGGATGCAGGGGTAGAAGACGAGCCGGGCAAGGAGAGACCCATGGACTCAATTGCTGTAGCCATGGTGTTGGCCGTGAACATACCACCACATGCTCCCGCGCTCGGGCAGGCATGCCTCTCCAGATCATCCATAATCTCATCCTTGCTCTTGCTAGTATCACCTCCATCATCCGGTTGACGGAGAGTGTTGTATGTGTAGGCACCAGCAGCTTCGAAGCATGTCGAAACGCTTACACGCTTCCGAAGAAGCTGGGAATACCCAACTTCGATAGTACCACCGTAGAGCATGATTGAGGGCCGATTGTGTCTTGCCATACCCATCACCACACCAGGCATGTTCTTGTCGCATCCGGGGATGGCAATGCAGGCGTCATGGTATTGAGCGCACGTTACAGACTCAACGCTGTCTGCAATGATTTCACGGGTCTGGAGAGAGAACCGCATACCTAACATCCAGTTAGACACGACCAGCGTATTGGCGTTTATTCAAAACCAACCTTCACTACCCATGCCAATCGCATCCGACACACCAATAGTATTGTACTGCCACCCAATCATGCCTTGGTCCGTGATCGCCTTCTTCACCGTCTTGGCCAGGTCCAACAGGTGCATGTTGCAAGGATTGCCTTCCCACCACACTGACGCAACACCAACCTGGGGACTCTTCGTCATGGCATTGTGATCGGGAATGCCTGCCGCGTAGAGCATAGCCTGTCCAGTTCGCATGAGGTCAACACTCGTCCAAGATCTGCGGGGAGAGCAATATGCAAGAAACACCGATTACCAACCTTCGCGCCAGGGAACTCATGGCCTCTGGTGATAGTAGAAGACCAACGATTCAAGACGGGGGTTCCATCTTCATGCTTGGTGCCCGCTGGTACGCAGGGAAATTCGAGGTACTTGGCCTCGCCCAAGGTGGATGACACGGCAGGTTTGGCGGGGTCCATTGTGCAGAGTCAGGAAGGGTAAGAGAGAGAACAGGGCTGGTGGGGTGGACTGAAGGTATTGAACAGCTGCACTGGCCAATGAGCCATATATGGAGGGGATGGAAGATGAGGGGTGATGAGAGGCTATACCGAACTCCGTGTTGTAAGTGTGCGGTCTGCAGTCCCAAAGCCCCTCGTTCGCCTGTAGACTCGGAGGTACGGCGAGCGAGTGCCCGGTTCAATCGGCGAGCAGTCCGTTGCGGGGAAGGCACGATCCGCGGTATAATCATCCTCGATGTGATTAGCTGCACTTGATGCTCGGGGGGAGGAACCGCTGGTTGTGATTCGAGCAGTCGGGCAGCTTGGGTGGGGTTCCGCTTGTAAAGAGTGGGCCAGCCATCATCTCGAGTACAGTGCGAGATTAGTACTACTGCATCATCTCTTTACTATTACTGCACTAATTGCGAGCACAGAAAAGGTCAAGAGGAGCATACGCTGCTGGGTATCTTCCATTAAGAGCCAACTCCAAATAATAACTGTCGTCATCACCCATGCATGACACCGACAACTGTAGACTGGCAATGTGCCAGAACGATGCAATGCTATCCTCACTAACACCAAAACAGGACGCCGGTCTCTACTGTACTGACCCGTCCGTCTCTGCCTCCTCATCATGTACTACCTCTTCCAGTGCATCCTTCTCGATGGTCGACCATTGGCTTGAGTGGTGAAGCGCCTCATCCGACGTAACCTCCTCCAATGGGCTTGATTTCCCAGTGCTATCCTCCGCCCCCAGCTCGTTTGCAGTATTGTCATCGCCATCCACTGCAAACCCCACCATCTTTCCCGAGCTTGACTGGGGTCGTGTTTCTTCCAGTACATCGCCATTCCAGGGTTTGCATTTCTTCACAATCTCGCCACAGCGTAGACAGACCCAGCCTTCTCCCTCTTCCCCTTCGAGCTTCTGCACAATACAGACAAAACAATATATACAACCGCAGGGTATAGTTTCATAGGGGTTAGTTATATCCGTCTGGGCTGACCCGACGATGCCTCCCGACGAGGCTGACGCGGCTATTGCTTCACCCTCCGTCGTGGACGTGGGGTTGTTGTCTTTGTAGCATATCGCGCAGGTTCTCTCCGGAAGAAAAGCCAATTCACCCTGCTTTCCGGTCTGTTCTTCATCCTCGCTTCCGGACTTGAGAGTGGATAGTGTCTTGCGCCACAGCCTGGAGAGCCACCGGCGCCATCGGCTAATACCCACGAGCGGCAAGAGGAAGAGGAGAAACTCCGTCATCGCGTGCCACACAAGTTGACGATTAAGATATTCGAATGACACCTCACGACTCGCCTGCGCGGAAGGTGGAATCAAGCGCATACGAAGCACGCGGTCGACCAGGGTCCGATATCGGCCATTCACCAAGAATACAAGAAAGGAGACGAAGGCGGCGATCGAGTGAGACGCGGAAATGAGGTCTGTCATGCGGGCGAGCATGCGTACTTCCTGGGACGGCTGCATTTGTGAGTGCCATGCACAAGGATCCAATAGACTTAGATTCTTACCTCCTCGTACCCACTCTCTTGGTTAATCAGCCAGCTTTCCCATTTTCCCCAAGCGTATCGGCCACCGACTGTAAGCAGACCATAGAGGGATTTCTGCCACTTTGTTGGTGCCGAATGCACGGGTCCTTTGCTGCGACTATCGATGTATTTTAGGTTCTGCAACGCTGCGCCATAGGAGGCATCGTGGTCCCATATCGAGAGCTTGAAAAGGATCGCACGGAGAGCGAATTGAATCTCGTGAGACCAGTCTTCACGTAGTTGAGGCTGATACCGATGGACGTTAGCTTTATCCACAAAGTATCTCCAAATTCCCTATCTGGACATGGACTAACCCCGTAATATTTCAATGCGTCCCCCACCTGTCCTTTCAATAGTCCCAGTAATTCTTCATCTAACAGTTCGGCATCGACCTGGCCGACGCGGTACGCAGGCCTGATACCCTCTCGGCCTCTAATCGTATTCCATAACGAGAAACCCGACTGGGGCAGTTTGTTCAGGGGATAAGGGAGTCGCTGAAGACTGGGATGATTGAGCGGCGACGTCCGCTGCTGCTCCGCCAGCCGGGCGCGAGCCTCCGCTTCGCGGAGACGACGACGTTCCAGAACCCTTTCCTGGGCAGCGGCGAAATTTGTAGAACTCATCGTTGAATCATTGTCAGGAGATCAAATTTGGAGGGTCGATAGGGGCGCTTGGAGAAGGTTGTTGAAGGTCAAGGCGACAACCTCGCAGTCGCAGTGTTGGCTATCATAGTAAGTTCGTTGACGGCTCCAGCTCAGTCGGTTGTCCGTTCGGAAGGGAAACAGCCGAGGTTGAGATAAAAGCACGTGACCAGACCGATGATAAGCCTGTCTAACTAAGAGATTATCTGGTTACTGGATATGTGCATACAAGAAGTGGTCGACAAACAATTGCTCCTAGCAGAATATTGAGGACAATTGCCAATGCCGTTGAGCAATATAATAATTCCTATGTTGTTCTAATAGAAAGAAACATATCAATGCATGCCGTCCTACCGAAGAGCATGCGCACGGTCACATGGCGATAGCAATAGAGCAAGATAGGAGTCCATCTTCATCTTAATTTCCCGCCTGCTTGCCGGCTCCACTGTGATTGATATCCCCTGTGCCAGAAAAGGTAGTATATCACTTGACTACATGATAGACATGAGTCTACCCCTCACCTTTGAGCCCATCACACAAGCCGACCAGCCTGCAGTCTCACAAGTTGTGAATGAGTGGAATGCAACCCTACCCTACTTGCTATCGATGTCAGCAACTGGGAGCCAGTTGGGAATCAAGAGCAGACATCGGTTCAGCCATGAGTGAGAACAATATGTGCCAAGCATGAGCAAGGTGGCATGCGACCACAATCCCCGGCACCCTAAAATGATGCTGTGTCGGTTGACACCGACATGGAGCTCCTGCTGCTGAAATCCTCCGAAGGGGACTAGTAATGTTCCATCTGCTGCACGAAGGTCGAGCATACTGACATTCGGTCCGCCCTGGTTGGTTGGCCTCCGATCCAGGGCCGAAAAAATTCCTGGCCAGTGCCCTTGACCACGCTGCAGGGTGTTCGGCTCCCCGGACTAAACAGAGCCAGCCAGCGGTGCACGTGCGGCCCTCGACTGCCTCTGGTGCCCCGCTTGGGGTTGCGGTGCCAAGCCACTGGGAAGCCTTAGCGCTTGCGGAGCTGACTGGAGATATCTACTACTATACGACAATCTCGTACTTCATAGTTAGTCGAGCAATTATTACTGTGTCCCCTGGATGTTGTCTTACCTTCCGCCAAACTCCGCACATGATGAAAAGTGGTATGCCGGCATTCGGACGGATCTCGATTCCATCTCCGCACTTGCTAAGGTTTTGGCGTACCAAACTCCCAACAATATCGGAGGATGGCACCTTGGTCTTGGTCTTGGCCTTGGATTAGGAACAATCCTGCTGCCGACGGCCATTCACTATCCAGTAGTTATTCCCAGTCAGAGCCAAGAAAGGGCGGATTGTCATCGAATAGGAACATCCGCCTTGGCCGCGTGCTTCTCTCAACCCTCACTCTGTAGTCGCTTGGTGAAGTGTTCTCGTGTACCTGGGTGGATACGCCCTTCACTGCCAGGGTACCGAGTCGTTTGCGCCGTCAGCCCATGGAAAGGGCACATGGCCTCGCGTGCTGCTGCTCACCTGGCTGCCTGCTATTCTAGTTGTAGTACCAACGCCCGCTCATCTTTCCTCCCCTGGCGGTATAAGAAGCCGCAACCCGCTCGTTTCTCTCTCGTAGTTGACTGCCGATCAGCCTCCCCATCTGTTGCTTCTCACCTGACGATTACTAGCTTACTACCGTCAGAGAAAGTCAATTCACGATGAAGACTACTGTCGCTTGTCTGTTGGCGGCGGCCTCCGTGGCATATGCCCAGGTTACCAACGTGTCGGAGCCTTCCCTCTCTTCAATTGAGAAGGATGCTGCCACCATCAAGCCGTACTCGCCGGTGTCGAACGTTCAGGGTCTTGCCTTCAACCGCTTCTTTCAGATTTGGCTTGAGAACATCGTATGTGCCAGACGTTGGATCACGTTTGGGTGTACTCTTCTCTGACTTGTCATCTCGTTCAGGACTATACGGATGCGGCCGCCGACGATAATATGAAGTGGCTCGCCTCCCAGGGTATCACACTGTAAGTTTTAGGCTCAGTAAATGTGACCACTCAGACTAGAAGCAGATATTGAACGCTTCATAGGACCAATTTCCACGCCGTCACTCATCCTTCTGAGCCAAACTACTGCGCCTCCGCCGCTGGAGACACCTTCGGCATGGACAACGATGATTTTATTCAGATCCCCGCCAACGTGTCGACCATTGCCGATTTGTTCGACACCAAAGGAATTTCCTGGGGAGAGTACCAGGAGCACCAGCCCTACCCCGGATTCCAGGGATTCAACTACTCCAACCAGAAGACTTACGACCCCGACTATGTGCGTAAGCACAACCCTCTCGTCCTGTTCAACTCCATCGCCGAGAACAGTACTCGTTTGCGCCAGATTAAGAACTTTACCAGCTTTGAGGACGACTTGGCCAGCCACAAGCTTCCTCAGTACGGCTTCGTTACTCCTAACATGACTAACGATGCGCACGACACCAACATCACATTTGGTGCGAAGTGGGAGCGCACCTGGGTCACTCCCTTGCTCAACAACTCCTACTTCATGAATGACACTCTGCTTCTTCTGACTTTTGACGAGGACGAGACTTACGCTAAGCACAACAAGATTTTCAGCGTTTTAGTGGGTGGTGTCATTCCTGATCAACTGAAGGGTACCACGGATGATACCTTCTACACCCATTACTCTGTCATCGCTTCCCTCTCTGCGAACTGGGGCTTGCCGTCTCTTGGACGCTGGGACTGCGGTGCTAACATCTTGGAAATTGTTGCGAACAAGACTGGCTATGTCAATTATAACGTTGACACCACCAACTTGCATGTCAACGAGACCTACCCCGGTCCGTTGTCTGCTGGCATTTATTCCAAGTACTCATCTGTTTGGCCCAACCCCTTGACCAACGCCACCTGCTCCGCCGGTCATGGCATTCTGGACATTGTGAAGGAGACCTACGCCAACACTCAACCTACCTACAACTACACCAGCCCCTACCCTTATGACACCAAATCCGGATACAACGTCAATGTCACAGCGACCAAGAAGTCGGCTACCTCCAGCTCTAACTCCACCTCTTCTTCCTCGTCCCCTAGTCCTTCCACCAACGCCGGTATTTCCCTTGTGTCGCCCAGCACTGGTCTGTCCGGTCTCGTCATGGGACTGGTGCTCAGTTTGTTGTGACGGCGATCTGCACTTGAGCTTGGGCTTGACTGTAAAGCGCCAGTTGCATTTACAAATAGAACTGGGGCATAGGCGATATGAAGTGGGACAGAATCATGGAGAAAAGCGGTTTAAATGTATTTTATGAATGGTAATGACACTCACGAGATGAGAAATCAAAGCTTCTTTAATTCCGAACGGCACTAAATCGTTCAATATATTCTCAATATTTGACTTCCTGCAGAAGAAGCCGGTGTTCGTAAATGCTTACAAAACATGTGACTGCGCAGTATGTCATCGAGGTAGTCAATTTGTTTCGAGTAGAGTTAGTGCAGCTAGTACAACCAGTTACGCGCAACGGCAACGCCAACCCTAATTTGAAGTAAACAACATGCTGTCTATCCACCAGCTATCAAGAGCCCGCCTGGATCAAGATAGCTTTGGTCTCAAGATAACCATCCATGCTATGCAGAAAGCTCTCACGGCCCATTCCACTTCCTTTAAAGCCACCGAAGGGCATATCTTTCGGCATACAGGGACTCGTGCAATTCACACCCACAGTACCGGCCTCCAGCAGCTTCGACACTCGCACAGCCCGGTCAATATCCCTTGTGAAGACAGCCGCATACAAGCCGTATTCACTATCATTGGCTTTGGCGAGTACCTCTTCCTCCGTCCGGAATATGTTGATGACAACTACAGGCCCGAAGATCTCCTCTTTCATAATCTGCGCATCCTCTGGAGCATTTTCGAACACCGTTGGCTTGACAAAATACCCATTCTTGGCATCACCTCCGAGTGTCAGGTCACCCTCCTTCTCGCCAGCGAGCAAGTATGATTTGACTCGCTCATACTGGACCTGATCGACCTGTGGACCAAGGGTAGTCTCCTTGTCTAGAGGATTTCCCAGAACCGCGGCCCCAAACATGCTTTTAAATAAACCCAGAAACTTGTCTGCCACAGACTCATGCACGTAGATACGTGAGTTGGCATTGCAAGTCTGTCCACTAAAAATCTGGATACTAAAGGAAGTTTGTGCAGCAGCAGATTCAAGATCTGCATCGGGGAAGATAATGGCGGGGGTCTTGCCTCCTAACTCCGCATGCACTGTCTTCATGTTGGACAAAGCAGCATATGACTGGATCTTTCTACCCGTCAATGTTGAGCCTGTGAAGCTGAGACAGCGCACTTCCATGTGTGAGGCTAGAATAGCACCGGTGGTTGGACCATAGCCTGAAAGCACATTAACCACACCCGGTGGGAAGCCGGCCTCGGCGACCAGTTTGGCTCCAAAAGCACACTACTAAGTGTTAGTTCTGCGAATGAAAGGGGTCTTGGGGTATTCTGTGAGATTGACTTACTGTGAGGGGCGCTTTCTCGCTGCTTTTCAAGACTATGGTGTTCCCGGCTGCCAACGCAGGAGCAATCTTGATGCCGAAGAAGGCGAACGGGACATTCCAAGGTATAATAGCAGCCACCACACCATATGGCTCCTTAGATGTTATGTTGAGCTGGCCGGGGGTGTTCCAGCTAGACGACCCTTGAACGGTCCAGCCCGCTTCAGCAAAGTAGGAGAATGCATCAGCTGCCACGCTCGCATCGATGTATCGGGACACTGGCTTCCCGGAAGACAATGCCTCTAAGCGGGCGAACTCTTGTTCGTGCTCACGGATGAGGGAGGCTAGTTTATGGAAATATTTGCCTCTCTGAGTTGGTGAGAGATCCCTCCACGCTGCGAATGCGGCTTTCGCTCCTGCAACTGCATCGTTCACATCGGCTTTATTGGCTTCGTGGACTAAGAGTATGTAAATTTTACTGGACTTTGATATAGCCTTGCTAACATACCATCCGCAGCTAGCTCTTGAGTAAAGGGATTGATCACAGGAAAGGTTTTGTCATCTGACGACGATCTAAACTATTATTTGAAACTGCAATGAGTACGGAAACATCAGGTTGCAGGACATCGACCCTACCTCGCCGTTGATGAAAAGCCGCGTCTCGATTGAAGTCTGGGTATTACTAATCATCATGATGGTGTTAACTAGGAAAGCACACTTACATCCTAGCAGTATCTAACACAATGACTTCAGAATGCTCGACAAATCAATTATTATATGCACCTCACAACCATGCTGGCAGTAGAGTTAACTTACTCCAATGCCAAATGTAACCAAGTTAGCTTGGCTGTTGACGCGTACAGGGCTCTGAAAGCAGGTCATCTACACATATAGCATGGAAACAACCCACGTCTCAAGGAACTTCACGTGAACTATTGCTATGTATCTGGAGAAATGGGCAATAAAGCTCTACCGTTGTCGAGGTGGCTTACAATTTCCCAGGTAACTTTGCTCTACTTCCTGGTACCAAAACGCCATTCCCGATCAACTCGGACATTTCTACTATTGATAATCTGGAAAAGCAAGGCTAAACAAGGCAATCCAAGTTGCTTTTAATCTCTCATAAGGGTTTCATTATATCATACATAGCGTGCTTATGGAGCCAGTCCCTCACGCTTCAAATCCTGGATACCCAAAGTATCTTGATCACCAGGGCGACGCTCCGACTCCAGCTTCACCTTGTCCTCAGGGCCACCAGGGCCGTTGAATTGTCCAGCCTTTGCGAGTCTGGAAAGCCAAATCATATTAGTACAACCCATACTTGATGGATGACCTGTGTGGGTGACAAATACTCACCGGCCGCGATCATCACGACTGCCTCCCTCCTCTTCTGGGATGGGCTTGCGGTCGCTGCCGGAAGCGCCTGCTTCTCTGCCAGTACGAATGCCTGTCTCGAACTTCCTGTCCACCATCTCGTTCACTCCAGACTCAAGGGCTGCAATTGTTCAGTACATGGTTGTCGCAAAGGGTGGTGTGTCATCTCTACACGAGATACATACTGGAATCGCTCTTGGGACCAAGGCCCTGCTTGGCCTGGTAGGAGTTGAGGTCCTTTTCGGCATCGTAAGCGATGCGAACCTTGTCGTAGTCGTTCATTGTGGTAGTGAGAGTAGAGTTTGTTTTCGAGTGCTTAACAAGAGACTTGATAGAGTTTCTTCAATGGTGAATGCTAGAGAGTAAGCAGCAACAAATAGACCGAACTATATATGTGCCATCTTCAATGTCTTCGTCGTCAGGGACACTATAAGTATTGCATCATCCTACATCATAGATATGTAACGAGTAGTGCAGGAGTCTCCAGTCGAACCCCATTTCTTACTGCTGGAACCTGGTCTCGACATCCAACTCAAAGAGGTGGCCAGTTGGGATATGATATCATCACCCCCGTTACATCAAACCTCAGGCTCTACCCCTAAATCCAGCCCTAAGTAGTCATGTCCGATCGGGACTAGCTGCCAGGGTCCGGCCCTAGGGTTTTTCGGAAAGGAACAACCATGACCCGGCTGGTCCCTCCTCGGCGGGGAAACCCGAAGGAGAGAATCCGTGAAGCCCGATGACTGGCGGCGAAGCTTGCCTTGGCCTTCATTGTTGCTTTGCTCCCTTCCCCGTCAAAGGATCCGATTTCGTGTCGACAGCCGGGATTGAGGCACCAAGCCTAAATCTCTGTTCCATCTATATATCAAGTGGTCAGAGGCCCTGTTCTGGCCGTTCTTCGGTTTGGATCCAATCACCTTCCGAACTACTACTTTGTAGTAGTAGATACATTCCCCCTCATTGACAGCTTCAAGCTGCCGACATTTATACCTCCCATACAATGGCCCCAATCGTCGAGTTGGCTGGGGAGGCCAACCCGCTGACCCCGCATAATGTTCTCAATGCACTAGTTCTTGCAGCTAGCTCAACTCAGCAACAGGTGCAATCGGGCACCCAGCAACTCCAGAATTGGGAGAAGCAGGAGGGTTACTATACTTCGCTTCAGGTATATACCTCAGCTTCCCTCCACCTTGTGCTTTTCTCTACCACTCTATACTCACGCAGTGCAGGATGTATTTCTGGACCATTCTGTTCCCCCTGAAGTTCGCTACCTCTCCATCATCCAGTTGAAGAACGGCATCGACAAGTATTGGCGAAAGACTGCGACAAAGTATGCGCGTTTTCACCCCCCTCGGATCGATACGTTGTGCAACAACAGACTGACCTCCTCAAGTGCCATCAAGAAGGAAGAAAAAGAACGCATAAAGACTAGGGCCTTACAGGCAGGTGTAGTCGAGCCGGCTCCTCTTCTGGCTCTTCACAATGCGTTGATGATCGCTAAGATCATGCGCTATGAATTCCCTCAGGACTGGTGAGTGCGGACGCGCTGAGAATTTACCTTGCATTGTTATTGACCATGTCTAGGCCGGATGCTATTACCTCACTCATTGCCCTCCTCCGCTCGTCTACCCAGCCTGGCGCGAACCCGTTGCAATTGCCCCGGACCCTTATCATCCTCCTACAAATCATCAAAGAATTGTCAACGGCCCGTCTGCAGAGAACCCGCGCGAATCTACAATCTGTTTCTCCAGAAATCTTCCATCTGTTGGGGAGCATATACGTGGACAAGGTGAACAACTGGGCTATTAACCTGGAACAAGGGGGCTTTGATGAGGCATCGTTGCTAGAGGTGATCGAGCAAAGCTTGGTCTCTCTCAAGGTCATCCGACGTCTCGTTATAGCCGGATATGAACACCCCAATCGCGATAAGGATGTCTGTGACTTCTGGGTCCTGACCCATACCCACTTCAGTAGATTCTTGGGATTTATCAATGGCCCCGCCACAATGTCGGAGCCAATCCATAGGGCAGTCGAGAAACACTTGTTGCAACTTTCCAAGCTTCATGTCGAAATGGCCAAGGATCGCCCGGCATCTTTCGCGTTGCTCCCGGACAGTATACCGCTTGTCCAGTCCTACTGGACCCTAGTAGTCAAGTTGGGAGAAAACTACAGTCAATTAGGCGGGGATGGTGAGCCAGAGGGAAAGTCCCTGATGGAGAAGACTGGCCTCAGGGCTCTCCTTCTGATCAGGGCTTGTTCCAAGATGGCCTTCAACCCGGCGCAGACATTCAAGTACCAGACGCCGCAAGACAAGGAGGAGAAGAAACAGTCCGTGGAACTCATCAAGGCCCAGCTGTTTACCCATGATTTCGTCGTCAACGTCATGGAGCTTCTCGTCACCCAGTTCTTCCGGTTCAGGAAGAACGACTTTCAGGAGTGGGAGGAAGACCCTGAAGAATGGGAGAGGAAGGAGGAGGATATTGCCGAGGCCTGGGAATTCTCCATCCGGTCGTGCTCCGAGAAGCTCTTCCTTGACCTCGTCATCCATTTCAAGGAGTTGCTCATTCCGCGTCTTTTGACCGTCTTCTACAACTTCGCAAGTAAGCAATATCCACCGAGCCAATCCAGAAGCATATCACTAACGATCTCAATAGGCCCTGATAACCACGACGTCCTGTTGAAGGATTCCTTGTACGCCGCCATTGGCCTGTCTGCAGCCAGTCTGGAGCAACATCTGGACTTCAACAAGTTCCTTGAGACGACACTTGTGCCCGAAGTCCAAATTCAGGAGCAGGGATACAATGTCCTCCGGAGACGTATAGCCATCGTCTTGGGCCAATGGGTCCCCGTAAAGTCCAGTGAGCTCAACAGGAACGCCATCTACCAGATCTTCCAGCATCTTCTCAGCAAGCAAGATCCGTTGAACGACCTGGTGGTCCGCATTACCGCCGGACGGCAGCTCAAGAACGTGCTCGATCCCTTCGAGTTCTCCCCTACTGAGTTCCTGCCGTATGCACCGGCCATCCTGCAAGACCTAATGTCTCTCGTCCAAGAAGTCGAACTTTCAGAGACCAAGATGGGACTTCTCGACACTGTCCGTATGGCTGTCGTGAAGATGGAAGACCACGTAAGTGTCAAGCTCACCCTACCTTCTCCCCGCCTCTAACAACCGACTAGATCGCACCCTTCTCGGACCAAATCTTGTCCTTACTGCCCCCACTTTGGGAGAGTTCCGGCGAAGAGCATCTGATGAAGCAAGCCATTCTAACGTTGCTTTCATCCCTGATTCACTCCCTCAAGCAGGAATCCGTCAGATACCACTCCCTGATTCTGCCTCTCATCCAGAACTCCGTGGAACCAGGCTCTGTAAGCTATTCACCCACCCCTTCCTCAACAAACCCATCTAACCACCATACCTCAGGAAACCCTCATCTACCTCCTCGACGAAGCTCTCGACCTCTGGTCCGCTATCCTAATGCAAACGCCGGCCCCCGCATCCCCCGAAATCCTCTCGCTGATCCCAGCCCTCTTCCCCATCTTCGAAGCCGCAACCGATAGCGTCCCCCAGGCCCTCCAAATCGCCGAATCCTACATCCTGCTCGCCCCACAAGAAATCCTCAGCGACCGCATCCGCTTCCCCCTTCTCGTCTCCTTCGAAACGCTCCTCAAACTCACCACCAAGCAACGCCTCGGCGTGGTCCCCCGCCTCGTCGAACTCCTCCTCCGCGGCGCCAACACCGTCGACAACGGCAGCGAAACCACCTACAGCATCATCACACGCTCCCTTCTCGACAGCTCCTTCCTCCCGGCCCTGCTCGAAGGTCTCCACTCCGCCCACGAAGCCAGCCAAACCACCGGCCCGAACCGCAAACAAACCTCCGTCTACGGCGTCGTCGAAACAGACTACTTCTCCGTCCTGGCACGTCTCGCCCTCGCCTACCCCAAGATCTTCACGTCCGCCGTCTCCGCCGCCACCAACAGTCCCGAGGAAACCGTCCTCTCCTGGCTCCTCACAGAATGGTTCCTCCACTACGACAACATCGGCAGCTCCACCCAGAAGAAACTCCACGCTCTGGCCCTCACTCAACTCCTTACCATTAACGGACCGGACTCTCAGCCCCCGTCTTATCTGCTCAATAACCTCCAGTCCTATCTTACCATGTGGACCGACATCGTCACTGAACTCGCCGAAGGCGCAGACGGTGGCAGCGGAGCTAACACTGATGATCCCCGCGGAGGTAGCGACTACTTGATCTACTGGAATAATGCCCAGACGGGGGCTGTGGATGAGCATGAGCCGCCGGAGAATGTGCGCCGACGGGAATGGGATAATGAGGATGTGCTGCATAAGGTCAATATTAGGGACTTTATTCGGGAGAGATTGCATTCGTTGATTGTCGGGTGTGGTGGTGAGCAGAGGTTCCAGGAGGAGTGGTTGCTTAATGTTGATCGGGAGGTGGTTGCGTCGTTTGGGGCTTTGGGGTTGTTGTAGATCTGGAAATTCGTTGAGGTTTGTGGATGGTAGGAAGGGATGGAAGGGAGAGATTGGTGACTTGACATTTGTGTTCGCCGGTGTGTCATATCGTCTACTGGACAGTAACTTGCATCTTTATGGGATAGCATACTCTACATAGTTGAATACCCCTTACATAGATAGTAGCTCTGACTTTAGAGCTGAGCAATGAAATTACCATGCGAGTCTGACTTTACTAAGTAGTGTGGAGGAAAAGGTAATGATAATAAGGAATGCAAGACTCGATAAACATCAGTACCAGACGGGTTAAGCCCCAATTATGAATCACGACGAATATGAAAGAATGACCAAGGATATCTTGAGAGGTGATAACCAAACGTTCAAACACCAAGTTGGTGTTTAAGAGCACTGGTGGGGGTATTGTCTATCAGTAGGCGAGGTAGGGAAGAGTTGGTTAGCCAGAAGGTCTTGCATGTCCCATCCTGGGGCACCCTCGGTCTTCCAGGTCCAGAAGAGCCATCCGCTCTTCATCTCGTAAGCCTCCAACTGAGCCTCAATGTAACGACGGGTGTTCGCTTTCTCTTCAGCTGAGAAATCAGCTACAGAACCCGTGCTCTTGCCTGTGCAGTCACCATACTTAGTGGTGGACATGTATGTGCCATCGTAGCGAGCGGCATTACCAACGCCGTTGAGATACTTGGCACAGTCAGTCAGAGCACCGGTCCATTCACCCACGACGACGGGCTTATCTGATTGCATCGTATGCTGTGTGGCGAGAGAACAGGCCGTTTTGACATGGTCATCGATGCTCATAGAAAGCAAGCCAGTGTCAAAAACCTGGTAGTGATGCGTATCCATGACAACATTGCTACCTTGCATAAAGCCGTTCCAGGACTCTACAGGCTGAAAGCCGTCCGACATGAACAAAGTAGTAGATGGGTTGAGACGCTGGACATCGGCCAAAGCGCCGTAATAGTAGTTCTTGAGGCCACCCTCGTCTACCCCACCAGGAATGTTGGGTTCGTTGATGGCCTCAATCGCTGTGACTGTATCGGACTGAGCGTAACGCCTTGCAAGGGCGTCAAATGCGGTCATAGTCTGGTTGACCGTATTCCCTTGCTGCCAATTGATGGGGCCTCGGTGTCCACTATTGTCAAAACCATTCTGAGAGCCCGGCGCTATGTTTCTGTCAGAAACCCAAAAACGAATTGCGCATGAAACCTCATAACTCACCACCATGCAGATCAACGACAACCTTGAGACCAGCAGCTCTAGCCCAGGTGACCGCCTGGTCAAGATAGTCGATCTGACCGCTGACATACGGCTCACCATCAAGAGGAGCAACGGCCCAGTATCCAATGGGAATGCGGACATGGTTCAGTCCTGCCTGAGCCATACGGTCAAAGTCACTTTGCGTGACGAACGAGCTCCAGTGAGACGACAATTTGGCCTTAGCTTCGTCCTGACCCAGCGTCTGACACAGCGTCCATTCATCTACCGCACCACCCCCCGTACTGTCATAAAGTGAAGGTGTAATCCATGGCTCGGTCACCAGCCAGCCACCTAGATTGACACCGCGGACTATCTGACTCTTGTAATCGAAAGAGCTTGCGTTGCTTTGCCGGCGCCTATACTCAACAGTAAGTCAACGACCACAAACAGAAGGGATAATCTTGATGTATCCGGCACAACTCACACTCGTGGCACAGCTTGTGCACTAGCAGCCAAAAGAGACAACGCCAAAAGCGCCTTCTTTACACCTTCCACAAACATATTGAAAACACGGTTCCGTAGAAGAATCAGCGAAAAAAAAATATCAGAAGGCTGGGATGGAATATTGCCGTCTCTGGGAAGCCAGCACCGGATAAGATGGATTTTGCCTGGTTTAAGTAAACGGAGGCTGAATACGCTGGCTGTCAATCGACCGCAAGCAAACAACAAGCCGTCTCCTAGATCTGGATCGCCAAGTGATCTGCAGAAATCTTAATATCAACTGGTCTGTTTGCAGATACCGATCTCCAAGTCAACCACGACCTCCGCACTTGATCGTGAATTGGGACCCACCGAAAGCAGACGCACGACAAAGCGGTGCTCGTAAGGATAGTAGATAAGGTTAGGGGAGAATGATCCACAAGAGAAAATGTGGAGAACAGGTTGTCTCTACTTTCCTGTGTCGTCGACAACGTTACAGCATCGCAATGACAACAGAAAAGCTGTTTAGACCTAGCCCTGAAGTAAGACTTATTGATGTGCTAGATATCGATTCAGGCCGGCTGCATGGAAATACAGGATACGTGGACTTAAGGCGCAGTGAAGTCACTCTGACAGGGCAATGAATTTGAAGAATATAAACAGTGGAAAGGAGGAGAGAAACCGAGCACTGGTGATATAAGAGTGAGCCGGACACTCGCAGTCAAGATTTGCTAGGTCCTTTCCCATCTATGGTTTAGATGGAAGGACTCTACCACTCAATTCGCATGGTTGAGGAAGGTACGGCCCAGCCAAGACTCATTCTCAAGGCACAGATGCGGCATTTGCATCGTTTTGGGCATTTACAGCCACTATAGGCCAAGGGAGGCAAGGTAGAGAGACTCTGCCGCGGTGTAACATGTTCACCAATAACCCAGCTAATAACTGCAGTAGCCTTACATGTAGCCAGGGGTCAATGCAACTGCTATGCAGTGCGCATGACCTGCGGTATCATCGTCATGAGCAGCCACCGTCCTCTTCATCCGCATGGGGCTGTTCGATGCCTATTGTTGCGTACTACTCTGGGGGTGGGTAACATCTCCGCGCGAGCAACGTGGCAAGTCATTGTGTGATGCTCGATCCGGCGGGCATTCAAAGGAAGACGATACAGATCCGGAAGGCAATTACCAGAGGATAGCGCCGAGCCAAGACGAGGAAAGTAAGTATCGAAGGAAAGGAATGAGGAAGAAAAGGTTAAAAGCCCAAGAGCAAGTAGAAGAACTAGAACATGGCGGGGACGGATCCGGTGACACCCCATCACGTGGCCCCCTTCCAAGCTGGAACTTTGCTCCCCGCGCATCCAAGTTGAATCTGGAATCCAAGACAAGTTGCGTCTTCATCATTACGACGCATAGATCTCCCCAATTGGACCATGGTACGGGATCAGGAGTTCAAACGAGTGACCGGCTTACCACCCTGCCAAGGAACTTACTTCAACCTCCTTCCCAGGCACGCCCCAGGAGTTCGCGTCAGGCAACAACAATTAAATGACTAACAGCTTTCCCTTAGTTAAATATTCCTCCGGTCTCCATACCTCAGCCGCTGTGGATTCCAACGGTCGATAGTGTCTTGAAGTGGACGAACACCTGAATGATTAGGGGTGGTTTCTCCATCTCATACTCTTACCACCAATCGAATCAATATGGGAAATGTGATTGTATTTCAGGGGAACGAGGACCCCCCACGACCTGATGCCCACTTCTATACTAAATGGTGGAATCCAGTCCTGATTCATCTAGAAGCCTGTTTAACAGGCCTCCTGGACGAATCATGAGCTCGAGTCAACTTCATTGGACTCGGATAAAGAACTCGAAGCGGCTTTTTTGCTTCGAGGCTAGGGGGCGGGTACTAATGCGGAGAATTGCCCGGTTGACGTATGCGGCTGGGGACCAGGCCGAGCCACTTATGGAGAAAGTAATACTGCTAGTTATACGGAAGAGAACGGAGGACTAGAGAGCCACCACATCTGAGAAACGCCCTTGCCCCTGAGCATAGTGACGGTGAACAACCCAACTGCCGACGCTAAGTCGGCTCAAAGATCCGGACCGCCTCGCCGCCATCCCGTCTAGTGTGGCCTTGTTTGTGGCAACTTGGTTGGCGAATATTTCTTTGCCATGTGCAGATGGACATTACTTACTGGCTTCCCGAACAGGGCGGCGGATGAGACTTCTGCCTACGCAGGTCAAGGTTGAGCACAAGGACCATGTGGTTGAGGAGGCTGTGGTAGGACCTCTCACGAACTTTCGGGTGGAAGCTTCATGTCTCGCTTTACCCTTTACCCACCCTTCCGCTCTCGATTTAGATAGATGTTGCGACTGCTTGCTGTTGCCTCACTTAAACCTCGACTACTGTAAATGCTATTACTAAAAGCTCAGATCCAAAACTCTCGGAACTCGGAACCACGCATTGGAGACTCATAGGAACATGTCCCCTACGTACGACTGCTACTCCGCTTCTGCTGTCAGTCGGACCATCAAGACAATGTCAAAACATGCCTGACGGTGGTTTCAGAAATGCCGATCGTGGCGACAGCGGCGCCTTCATCTGTAGTCACAAGTATCAACAAAAGAAAGAGCGGTGACCATACCTGTCAGTGCGCACGCGAGTAGCGACTGTTTTCTCCGGTACCGACGCTCCTGTAATAAGTGCCTGTAGATCAAAACCGTGATTTCGCCTACGTTTTACCTAGCCCAGGACCCGGACAGTAGGTGGAATGGGATGACGGAGCAAGAAGTGATTGGAGGCGGACCCCTAATGGAAGGCAAATGGAAAAGAGTCCGACGTTCTTTGTTGAGATCTCTGTTAAGATCTAGTGAACGGAACTGTTGCTGATCAGCGAATAGAGACCATGGATCTTTACTTAAGATGGGCAGTTAACGGTAGGGACTACCACACGGTTCTTGGCGACCGCCTGCATCTCGGAAGCAATCAGCATTCAATGTACTGATGCGTAGCGGCTAGTGGGCTAGGGGTCAGATAACCATATTCGGACATCAGGCATTTTTGCCCGGCCGAGTCGGCGCGAATGTGATGGGATTTTACTCCAAATTGGCCATTCCACTCCCAAGGGGAAACAATACCCGTCAGTGGAATCCATTTGCCGGGTATAACCATTGACCAGCGTATCGCATTGTGTAGCAGGTATCCATTGGCGGGTGGACCGGCCCATTCGTTTCAACGGCACTGGACCGCAGCGGACCGAAAGTCTGTGAAGCTGGCCTCGAACACACGGGAACCTCCTCCTTCGTATGTTGCCCACGGCCCTGTAGCCATTCAAGGAAGTTGTATTCAAGCGAATGGATGTGAGTAATATGACTACCCACGGTCTGCAAGGAAAAGACCATCCGGAAAGCTTGTAATGTGTGGAGCTGGGAATGATTTGGTTGCCCAAGATGGTTTGCCCACGCGGACGGCTACTATGGGGCACCATTTTCGTTAGCATTACGACTCCACAGGAAGGGAGGAAGAAAATAATGCCTGCACTGGCAGACACTATTACGGCGTTGGGGCAGGAAATAGAGCCATACGCACGCTGAACTAGTGATTGGTCAGGTTGACATCATAGCTTGTAGTGGAGCGTCTCAGGCCAGATGGTGGCAAGGTAAGTAGACTAAGATAGGAGGTTGTTAGATTGACTACTACTCTGTATGATCTTCTCAACTGCCGGGTAAGCGAAAGTGCCCAGCGATGATGTGAGGGGTCAGACTTCATCTAACGATGTACGATGACGATAGCATTCTAGTGAAGCAGCCATTGCAATAAGAGTGAGGAGGGACAACGGAAGGGCAATCCGAAAGTCGTGTGATCCACGGAAGGCCTCATTTGGTTGAGTTTGGATGGAATATGTCTATATGGCCTGATGTTTTAAGGAGAACCCGGTTCGACGCGATCACCTGCAGCCCAGCCAATCGGATACGAGCTTAGTCACCCGTCCCGACAGATCACATCCTCGACACTTTCTGGGCTGGACCGAAGAGAGAGATACCTCACATTAATATACGGGGCAATATATCTGACTTTGGTCGCAAGGAGAGACAGAGTTCTGGTTAATCAAATTGATGCATCGGTTGACCACAGACTCGCTCATCTATCTAGACATTCCATGAAAACGGAGCAGGGACAGGGGTCACGAGCAAAGATGAAAGTTCGTAGTACTCCGCAGGTACTCCGTAGTTAGTAGTAAATATGAGAAAATTCACCACGCTCCAAGTTTAGACTCGGTCGCGCATCGGCTCCGACTCGTTTTGAGCCCGGCGGAGAAAGGGTTGGAGCCCAGATGACGACTGAGAGGGCTTTGTTCCCGATGTTCTGAGGCGTTGCCCCTTCTTCCTCTCTTCTTCCCGCCTAAGCGCCCTTACAGGGAAGCATCGAGATTATTTGCAGCCATTCCGATTAGCTGTCCATCAATTAGCGGACCCTCACTGGGTTGTGCCATCGACCTTTGGACGGGCGTGTCATTCGGCAGCTTCCTTTGCACTAGTAGCATCTTCTCTCCAAAGTCAATTTTCTGGAGCCTTGAATTAGACGACCCTCTTGTTCATCATACTTTTTTTTTTATTGATTCATTTTTGCTTTTTTCTGTTTCTCCTTGGTGTCGTGGTTACTGAGAAAATTTGTAGGCTGTCAATCAGCTGCGTCGAATTGCCCCACGGCTCCAGACTGTCATGAAGAGTCTGGCCCGACTCCGCCGGTCGAGCGGCCTTTTCTTGTCTCTGTCCCGGCCAAAACAGCAGGTTGTAACCAAAGTATTGAAGCCGAAGGTGGTATAATCTCATAGACACTGTGTAAACATGTTAGGGTGAACAAACTAAAAAGATTAAAATAAGAATAAAAATAAAATCCATCAGCATCAGCTGAACTAAGTCGGTTTAAAGGCCGCATCAGACCACCAAGACTCCTCAAGGCAGGCACCAGATACTGATGGCAGGGAATAATATCGCCAAGGTTCGGGATCCCCCGTGGCCGTTGCGCGCTGTCTGGGCTGATGTTGGAACTTGGGTCTCTTTCCTCTCCTAGCCTGAAACCCCGTTGTCTTGCTTTTTTCCCTTGTGCCCACCATCACGATGGGTCCGCTCTTCTCCCCCCCTTCCCGCGTGGAGGAGGGTCGGATGTCGGACTTGCTTGACTAACATCCATGCGTTGGGTCTCCCATTTGATATCCAGTCCAGTGGCCATGCATCTTAGCCAACCCTATATAATCTCATGATGTCTCCATGCCTCCCACAAAATGCCAGTCCTCCCATTTTTCCATCTTCGACCTTCCAAGCTTCGATTTGACCCCAGGGGTTCGTGAAAAGAAATCAACTGCCCCTCTCGATCTAACCGAGCCATCTTTTTTCTTATCTGTTCCTCGAATATCCACTCATACACCCCTCCTGCAAAGCCAAGGATCCCAAAATGGAATACACTCTCGAGCCGAATCGACCAATGAAGCATGTCGACCGCAAAGCCCTGTACACCCGCCTAGAGGCGCGCATCACTTACCTGCGAGACTTTCTAGACTTCAATTCAGGTTCGTCCACTTGCAGCCTCGTTGCTTCCAATCATTGACTAACCGCATCGATGTAGGTGACGTCGAGGCATTGGTGGCAGGCTCCAAGTATATCAAGGCCCTGATCCCTGCCGTGGTCAACATCGTCTATAAGAAACTTCTCGAGTCCGACATCACCGCTCGTGCCTTCCACACGAGAGATACCGCCGACGATACACCCGTTGAGGAGTTCTTCACAGAAGAAAGCCCCCAGATCCAACGTCGCAAGATGTTTTTGCGTTGGTACTTGATTAAGCTGTGTTCCGACCCTTCCCAGATGGAATTCTGGCGGTACTTGAACAAAGTTGGGTATGTCTTCCTATCTCTTAGCTGGTCAGCGTATACAAAGTATCATGTGACACTAACGGTCATAGAATGATGCACACTGCCCAGGAACGTCTGTACTCGCTTAACATCGAATACATCCATATCGGCGCTTGCCTCGGATTTATTCAAGATATCTTCACCGAAGCCCTCATGTCACATCCTCACCTGTCCCTCCCTCGCAAGACCGCCCTGGTTCGCGCTATCAGCAAGATCATCTGGATCCAGAACGACCTCTTCGCCAAGTGGAGAATCAGAGATGGCGAGGAGTATGCCGATGAGATGTCGGAGATTATGGTTGACGACAAAGAAGGGTACCTGGGTGACAAGAAGATCCTGGGCGATAACAGCAGCACCTCCGCAAGCTCGAGTGAGGATGACCGCTCAAGCATTCACAGTGGCACGGTCCCTACTTCAACCCCGGCATGCCCCTTCGCAGATATGGCGAAGCCGGCGTCGGAAACCAAGATTTGGGCCGGGTCTAATTGAGCCAGTCGGTTGCCTGGATGGTAATAGAACGTCACGGATGGTATACAAGTTTAAAGAGCATAGCGGGCGTCAGGCATATGTGTTCCGGGTATATTGTTTTCTTCCTGGTTTTGTCGTTTCCAAAGAAGTCGTTCGTATCTTGGAGCATGCATGGATGGTGTTGGGGTTCACACAGGCGATATAGTAATTAAAGATATCCAGATTTAGATATTGTGACATCACTTCTCCTGCAGTTCTCGGACAGATCTATCCGTTGCA